CCTTTTCTGGTACAGGGTCTCTCTATGCAGCACAGACTCATAGTGATCCTCCTGTTTCAGCCTCCCTAGTGCTGGGATTAAAGGTGTGTGACTCTATGCCCCTTTTCTGTGGTACAGGGCCAGCACAGCATGCAGTACCAGAGTTCAAAGGCAGGTCCTTGTGCTTGCCAAGCAAGTGCTTACACTGAAAAGCTATTCCCCAGCCCAACAACATATTTTGTTTTGTTAGGATATTTGGACCAGGGATCATACTTATCACAGAAAATCAAAACTCTCTCCAGACTGTAGTCTATCTAAAATCAAACATTATCCAGGAAAAGATCATGAATCACAACCACATTAGCATAGTTCTAGAATAAATACTATAAATGAAACATTAACTCCATGGCCCACTATCTACACAAAGCAAAGAAGATTCAATTCTGCGCTAATACACCACTTAACTGGCTTCAGTCAATGCACAGTACACAAATTACAGTAATGAATTCAAGGCACATCAGGCAATTCCTTCTCTATACAGGCAGAGAGTGAAATGAGAAAGAAGTATGTAAAATTAATGATTAACACATTAAGCACTGGAGCTTGAACTGACTCTGATCATCACAGCTATTTAAATATTAGAACTAAACTATTCTAAATTCAAGAATCTACAAGGTTAATGTCTGATATTTTATCTATGGCAATGCCCTAATCTTATCTATCAGAGTTTCATCTATGCCTTATAATATAATGGGGACAAATTTCTCCAGTGTTAAGCATCTATTAAAGTATCAGCTTAAATATTTGGAACAAATTGTTCAATTTCAGTTTGGCCATCTTAACAGAACAATAACACATCTACTTGCCTCAATAGTACAATGCAAGAAAAAATGGTTGAGCAAGAGCAATCACATATTCACCTCTCCCAAAGTGCATTTTATGATTTCTTTTATTATTTTCTTTTCCTTTATGGACTTGAGGAATTCGGTGTGCCCGAGAAATCATGCCTTAATCTTAGCCACACAATTGTAAGGCTTACGTGAAAGCATACTTTTCTTGTTGTCAATCCCCTCCATCAACACCATTAAGCTCCCAAATTTTAAAAGAAATATCAATTTCTCGGATTAAACTGTACATTTCTGGACATTGGCTGCTGTAAATGTTCAGTTCATAGAATTGTAACCACTATGGAGAAGGCTTTCTAGTGAAAGACTGTTTTATTTTTAAAAATATTTTACTGCTCAAAATAAACACAGTAGAAGAAAAATTATTCATTTCCCAGTTCATCATCATGTTGGTTTGTGACTTTCAGAAGGCCAATTCAAGAAAAAAATTTATTATAGTTCAAACTGGGTAGAGGATACATTTATGGAACTTAATTAGAAGAAAAATATGATGAGAGCTAAAAATGTCAGATTGAAATGAATTCTGTATTCAAATGTACACACGGAGGCAAAGCGAATCCTTGAAACTCTTGAGTATGATGTATGTTGGCTCACAGCTCTCCTGGCAGGCACACGCACACTTGACTAGGTGACAAATTACCCTCTTTAAGTGAAGATAGCTAATATCATTGATGTCTTTACAAATTTTCAAAGATTAGTCTCCAAAATGACTTTAATGAGTGGAGCAATTTGTAGAAGGAAAATATATATGTATATATATATATATATATATATATATATATATATTTTTTTTTTAAACAGAGCAAAACACTTGTGACCTGTGAGCTTGTGATTCTTCTTAACTTTCCTCATTCTTTCTGCTAAGACCTCGTCTCCACCAGGGCAACTTCCAGTTCTATTCAACATGAACAGATTCCTTGCCTGCCTATGTAATAGTCTTCCATTTTCTAAAGGATTCATACCAGATCATCAGTGGAGGCAGAAGACCATAGGTGGAGGAGACTACATATGCTGTATTGTCCTAAAAATACACATCTTATACAAAACTAAATTTATACAGTAGATATTAGAGGTCAATAATGTAATTAAAGATAAAATGGAATAGCTGTAACCCCTTTTCTATTTACGTGTTCCAATCACAAATCTACTGCTTTTGCTATATTAACTGAGAACTATATATTGTAGCCATAATCTTTGAAGTTATGGACTTGACAGGAAAACTGGCAAAATTTCTTTCTTCACAATTACATGGACTGAAGGTTTATTCTTACTCTAGCTTTTAGCAGCTATGTTTTTAGAAATTGTTTTCTCATTAAGTATACCATTTTAACCTCTGCACTGGAAGCACTGAATGGCTTCTCCTTAGCACACTCAGCTTGCCAGTGTCATTTGCGGGCCTGTGTTAAATAAAATGGAGGTTATGTGAACGTAAATACAAGCTGTTTAGATAGTGCAAGTCAATCTGGTAAGTGAAAGGCTACCTAGTGATTATCAAGCAGGTAACATATAAGAGATGTGACTGAGGAATACAGTAAATATTTAAGTTAAAATTATTACAGCGAAAAACACATTGCCATCAACCCCTTTAAAATACTCCCACTAGATTTGGACATAGATATCGGTTCACTGTTGCTACTCTCTGAAGTAATTCTAGAAGTTCATTCATGTTTTCAGTTGTGCTACTGTGGCTGCCTCAGTGAGCTACATTTATTCAAAACATTTTCCTTTGATGGTCATTTTGAATTTGGGGACAAGGTACAGATTGTGAAATGTGAAATCCAGTAAATATGGTGAATGAGGCCACATAACAATGCTTATGGAAGCCACTATTTGCTTGAGTGGCACTCCGATGAGATTTAGGGCCACCCCTTGTAAAGACACTCAGAAGACTTGTAGAGTTGCTTCAGAAGGTGCAAAGAATGATGGAATAAGTATGTTGGAAGAGTTGGGAGTGTCTTGAGTGAGATTAATGATAATGTATCTTTCACCATAATAAATACTTTAATATGAATACTACCTATATTTTGATCATTTTCATGCAAAATGGATATATTGGGAAAGGGATGACTCACATTAGGCAGCTTGGAGCAAGGCAGCATTTGGTTTTGTTACATTACTCAATGGAATTGGATTAAAATTTATGGGTCACCTGTATCTAGAATTTTCCACTTAATATTTCCAAATCACAGTAGATCAAGAATAACTAAAAATCACAGAAAGCGAAACTATTGTATGAGTACATATATAAACATTTATATCATGTGTAAATTCTGATAATTCTGCAACATTTCACTCAGACATTGTATTTTATCTTTTAAAGAATAAAATATTTTAGTTAATTCATAAAATGGTAATTAAGGGAATATAAACATTTTCAGCATTCACAGAAAGGAATGTAATCCTTTTATAACAATAAATGAATAACCATTTCTTTTTCTACTTATTCAGTAGATAAGCACATGAGAAATTATTGGGTCACAGCGATAAATACCCCCAATCCATAGGGAGGCACTGTTGTCTGAAGTTACTGTCATCATCCATTAATCGCAATGACTGTTTGAAAAAGTGATCTGCCACAATTTGTACTAAATGCATGGTTTTAATGAGTTAAGTAAAAACTCGTGACAATAGGGTTTTAAGTCTATATTAGCAGTGCTAACTCTAGCTGGCATGTAGTAGCTCTTCAATAAATGCTTGTAAAATATATGACTGAGTGACTGACTCTGTCACCATTAGTATTGTTTTAATGCCCAAGTAAACTGGGGTCCAGAGATTATGTCAATTTCTTAAGTTCACATTCAGTAATAGATGAAAACTGACTTTGAGTCCAGGAGAGTCTGACTTTGAGGCTCAGGATTTTAGTTATTTCTATATAATATGAATCTTTCAATTTTTTCTTTATAATTTATTATAAATGTCAGTAATACTTACTAAAGAGTTTTCATATAATTATTTTCATTTCTAGTAAATGCTTAGGTCATTGAATCACTATTAAACATTATTATTACATCAGGGCTTAGTAACACCAGATACAATCATCTTAAAGGAGCTAGAAGATCCTTTTCTCTACAACTAAGAAGCTCTGAGGCTTTAGGACAAGCCAA